AGCACCAGCTGTGCAGTCCACGCTCTTTATACCTAAATAAATGGAAAAAAACCCCAGTTGGATTGTATGTAGATATTAAGATGCTTGCCTTAATCATTCTTCGGGTTAATCTTTTACTTGTTGGTATAAAGCAATAATCAAAGTCATGGTGCCTTTCAGTGTGTCTCATTAGGAACTGGTAAAGTTAATACGGGCTTTGAGTCAAGCCCTTTAATCATAAACCCAGGAATTTTATGTATGGCCTATTTTATCTTGTGTTTTTTCCGAAGAAATTCCATCATCCATCAATAAAGAGTCTGCATCGAGGTCAATTTATTTGGAATCTGGCAAACGGTCCTCTTATAGATCAGTACATTTATGCCTTGGGCCAGAACAAATACCGTGAAGTTGTGGAACAAGTCATTGAGCAGTTTAAGGGGAAAGTGATACCCAAGCTAAGCAGTTTTCGAGCCTGTGAGTATTTTATTGTCACTGTCGTTATGTTGAAAGGAGACGCTGAAATTTCTTACGGGAGTTTGGGTGTGTGGAGAAAGAAAAAACAAAAAACCCTGCAAACAAGAAAGTCTCCTTTATTGCTAGCTAGACGCGTGCAAATATTGTGAATATTGTGCCGAATGACCCCAATGCAGAATAATTCGGAATGTGCTTGATCTTTTTGATGAGTTTGCTTCCGGACAAGGTGATGATTGTTATGCTGTTGATAAGAATATATGGAGCACAGTACTTACTGTCATAAAGGACCAAATAACTCCTTAATCTTATTTTTGGCATTCTGCTCACATTGATGTTCATGATGATGTGACTGTTTGGTAATTTGAAAACTGCTGTTCTGTGTTTGGGAAACGTGTCACATCACAAATAGCACCAGGCCAGAGTAGGATCTCTTAATGCTCCCTTTATCGATTGCTCTCTGGTCACCTGTTGGTGGAACGCAGGCTCCCAGGAGGCAGTAAGGCCCTGACCTCATTAATATTTATAAATATGTAAAGGGAGAGTGTCACGAGGTTGGATGTCCAATGACAGGACAAGGGGCAGTGGGTTCAAGCTGGAACATAGGAGGTTCCATAAAAACATTAGGAAAAACTTTTTCCCTGTGAGGGTGACAGAGCCCTGGCACAGGCGGCCCAGGGAGGGTGTGGAGTCTCCTGCTCTGGAGACGTTCAAAGCCCGCCTGGACGTGTTCCTGTGTGGCTGCGCTGGGTGACCCTGCTCTGGCCAGGGGTTGGACTGGATGATTTTTCAAGGTCCCTTCCAGCCCCGAACATTCTGTGATTCTGTGAAAGGTGACACTTGACGTGGAGGGCGACTGGTGTGGTTTTGTAGTTGAGTGTTAGTGTAAGCTTTTCAAAGCTGTTTCACTAAGAAATGGGTGGATGGCTGGGAAGAGAGAGATCCAGCTGTTTAATTACTATTAAATACCGTTTCTGTCTCTTCTGCGTAGGTATCAATCACGGAGATCTTAATGACCACAACATTCTGGTAGACTCCAGTTCTGCCTCCCAGGAGAATCCCCAGTACAGAGTGTCTGGCATCCTGGATTTTAGTGACATGAGCTACGGCTATTACGTATTTGAAGTGGCAATAGCCATCATGTACATGATGATTGAGAGCCCGGATCCTCTGAGCGTTGGAGGGCACGTCCTGGCGGGCTTCGAAAGCGTCTTGCCCCTCACCGCCGAGGAGCGAGCCGCCCTCTTCCTCTTGGTGAGCGGCAGGTTTTCCCAGTCCCTTGTCATTGCTGCCCACACGGCCTTGCTCTACCCGGAAAATAAGGAATACCTCATGATCACGGCCAAAACCGGCTGGAAACACTTAATGAAAATGTTTGAGGTGGGCCAGGAAGCCGTGGAGAAGACGTGGTTTGAGACTGCCAGAGCATACGCGGCCCGCGGGCCTGCCCACTAGACCCAGGGCGGCGCGGCGACACTTGACTCTGTCGCCATATCGCAATAAAGGCTGGAAACGCGTCCCCGTGGTGGTCAGTGCCGTCGCCTCAGGGGAGCCTTGGC